TGCCTTGTCCTCAGTGTTAGAGGGAAAGCATTTAGTTTTTCACCATTAAATACGATGATAGCTGTAAATTTTTTGTATCTGCCCTCAGCAGGTTGCAGAAGTTCCTATTTATTCCTACTTTGTTAAAAGCATTTATTGTGAATAAATATCTTATTTTGTCAAATGTTTTTCTGCATTTATTGAGATGATAATGTAATTTTTGTGCTTTATTCTATTAATATAGTGCACGACATTAATTGATTTTGGATGTTAAAAACATTACATTCCTGAAATAAATCTCACTTGGTTGTGATATGTAATCCTTTCTCTATGTTGCTGAATTTCTGTTTGCTAATATTTTGCAGAGAATTTTTGCAGATATTCTCCTGTAGTTTTCTTGTTATATCTTTCTCTGGTTTGGGTATTAGGCACTTTTGGCCTAAAAAATGATTTGGGAAGTGTTCCCTCCTCTTCTATTTTCTGTAAGATTTTATGGAGGATTAGTATCAATTCTTCTTTAATTTTTTTTTTTTTTTTTTTTTTTTTTTTGTAATTCAACCCTCGACATTGCCCAAGTAACATGAGCTTGCTGTAGAAAACTTAAAAAGAATAAGGACAAGCACAAAGGAAAAAAAAATTATTAAGCTCATCTGCGATTTCCCCCGAGGCTGGCCAGTCTAGGGGTAGAAAAATTTTAAATTACTAACTTGATTTCCTTACAGGTATAATCATATTTTCTGTATCTTCTTGACTTGGTTTTGGCAATTTATATCTTTTTAGGAATTTTTCCATTTTTTTCCAAGATGCTTGATTTATTGACATAAAGTCGTTTATAGTATTCTCTCATACTCCTTTTGACTTCTTCAAGGACCACAGTGATGTCCCTCTTTTATTCCTGATTTTTATTTTTTCTTGATCAGTCTAGTTAAACATTTATCAATGTTATTGATCTTTTCAAAAAAACAACTTTCTGTCTTATTGATTTTCTCCATTGCTTTTCTGCTTTCTATTTCGCTGACTTCTCTAAGATTTATTCTTTCCTTCTTTCTTCTTGCTTTGGATTTAGCTTGCTCCTTATTTTCTAGTTTCTTAAGGTAGAAACTTAGGTTTTTTATTTTTGAGATCTTTCATCTCTTTTAATGTACAAGTTTACAGTTATAAGTTTCCCTCTAAGCACCGTGTTAGCTGCACCCTGTCAATTTTGATGTATTTATTTTCATTTTTTTCAGCTCAAAATATTTTCTAATTTCAACTGATCTCTTCTTTGACCCCTGACTTATTTAGAAGTGTGTTGTTTTAATTTCTCAAATACTTATGCATTTCTCAGATCTTTCTTCTTTTATTTCTAGTTTAATTCCATTGGGGTGAAAAGTGATGCCAGAGGAGAAGGGGTCTGGGGGGCCTGAGAGCCAGTCTACACCCACCCGTGCTCTCACCAGGCCCCTGACTCACCACAGGAAAGAATTCGAGGGCAGGGTCATGGGAGAGAGTGAGAAAAGGCCGAACGCTGAAAGGAAAAAACCCCGGCCCAAGTGCGAAAATAAAACACGCCAGGAGACAGGGACTCAACCAAAGCAGGCAAAGAGAGAGAGAGAGAGAGAGAGAGAGAGCGAGCGGGCTGCGAGAGAGAGAGAGAGAGAGAGAGAGAGAGAGAGAGAGCAGCCGCAGGGAGAGTCGGGTGGGCCTTTTATACTATACCCAGTTAGGCTGAGCTGGACGGTTCCTATTGGCTAAGAAGGAAGGGGCGGGAACGAGCGGGGTTTAAGCTGAGCTGGGACTTTTCTATAGGTGGAGAAATTCGCACACGCGGGAAGGGGATGTGGTGGTGAAGAAGAACCATGTTTTTTGTGATTCTTGGAAAATGTGCTGTTCTAAGGACCTGAAACTCTCCGCAGCCATTTTGGATGTCCTCCTGTCCGCCCACCGCCATCTTAGACATGGGCTAAAACATAATTGCCTAACAAACGCAGTGAACAAGGACACAGGCATCACAGAGAGAGCGAGCAGGGCCCTCCGGGAGGGCGAGCAGGGCCTGCACCAGGTTTAACAGGAAAGCGAGAAATGCCCCCTTAAAGGCGAGTGCAGAGCACAGGTCGGCTCAGGAGGGGAGCAGTCACCTGCGGAGCGAGCTCCCCACAAAAGCAAGACACTCAGCCTGCGCAACAGGTCGGCCGGGAAAGTGAGCCAGCACCCGCCTTCTGCAGGGATCCCGCTTTTATAGCCATGCCATCTAATCCACAGTCATGCTGCCTAATGAGTGTAAGTTCTGCTTTACTGAGTGTGCCTGGCTAGTAGGGTTCTAGAACGCCATTCTACTGAGCATGCCCAGCCACTGGATTTGCACAGGTCAGCCTCCTGCGGTCTCTCACGCTGGTGCCCAAAATAGATCGGACAGTAACTTTCCTCTAGGGGTGGGCCTGGAGGGGGCCCTGAGACCTTGGGGAATGGCATGAAACCCAGAGGTGTGTCCTGAAACTGGAACCCAGGGAAACGGAGCTCTTCCTGTCCAAATGTACATTGCATGATTTCAATCCTCTTATATTTATCTAACTTATTTTGTGGCCTGGTGTGTGGTCTATGCTGGAGAATGTTCCATTGGCACTGGAGAAGAATGTGTACCCTGCTGCTGTTGGGTGGGGACTTCCGTAGATGTCAGTTAGGTCAAATTGCTGGCTAGCATTCTTCAAGTCTTCTTAACCCTTGTTGACAGTCTGCTTAGCTGTTCTATCCATTATTGAGAGTGTGATATTAAATACTGTTTTTAAATTGTCTATTTCTCTCTTCAATTCTATAAGTTTTTGCTTCATGTATTTTGTTGCTCTCTTGTTTGGCGTGTGTATGTTTTCACTGTTTTTCTGGAAAAAGACACAGCACGTAAACAGCAATCATAAGAGAGCCAGAGTAGCTGTACTAGAACCAGATGAAATAGACATGAAGACAGAAAACGTTACTAGGGGTGGAGAGTTTGAATCATTCTCCCTCGAGATTCTGAAGGTGTTGCTTTGCGTGCTGGCTCCAGGGTAATCGATGAGAGGCCTGTTGCTGTCTAATGATCGCTGTCTGCGGCCCACCTGTTTTTTCCTCTCTGAAATCTTTCAGGACCTTCACTGACCCTGAAATTCTGAACGTTACAAGTATGTAGTAGTGGGTTTTGTTCCCCTGCGCTGCCTGGCTTGGAATTGGAAGATCGTCAGCTACAGGAAATTTCTTCTATTAGGCTCTGAAAATTTCCTCCTTTCCATTTTCTCTTTTCTCCCTTTCCCAAGGTCTTGACCTCATAATTCACACCCCTGGGATCCAGATGCCCTCGAGTGGGCCAGCAGCAGCATGCCCTGGGAGTGTAGGGCATGCAGAGCCTCAGGCTTCGTACCAGATCCCCAGAATCAGAATCTGCATTTTAAGATCTGCAGGTGGTTTTTTTTCATAGGCAGGTCTGAGAAGCACTAAAATGGGTAGACCTCTTCTCTTTTCTTTCACGTTATCTTTCCACTCCCCCCCCCCACTGTAATCTGGCAGAATTCCACTACTTTGTCTTTCAAATTAATTATCGAGGGGTTTTGTTTTTCAACAGTAATGTTTTTATTTCCAAGAACTCCTCTTGTTCTCCTTCTTTCATAGCAACCCACTCTTGTTTAATGGATGCAATCTCTCCTCAAATCTCTCTGAGGATCTTAATCCCGTTCATCCTGGATTATCTGCGTCCAGGTCTGGAGCCGTCCTTACTTATCTGAAACTTTCTTTTCCACCTGCTAGTTCCTTCCCCCATCAACCTGGGTGACTCCTCCTAGTTCAGAAACGGGGGCCTGGGATGGCTCTTCTCATTGACTGCGGTGCAGTTTCCCTGCTGTTTGCCCTCCAGACTCTCTCCTGAATGTACAGGCTTCAGCGATGCCAGGGGGATGGAGGGCAGGAGCTGACTTAGGCCAGTCTATCCCTAAATGCCAGGGAGGTCCCATGTACCCTTCTCCCATTTTCCCCCCGTGGTTGCATCTCACATGATGACAGGCCGATATCAAACTCCAGAATGTGACATGTGACACTGGTCCTATGTGAAGTCACCACATGTGATGAGTGCACCCACCCCGGGAATTGAGATGCACCCCTGTGCCAAAACCACAAAGATCACACGCCCCACCATCCCTAACCCAGGCGTCCACCAGTGGGACAACTGAGTTTTAAAAGACTGTTGACTTCGGGCCGGCCCGGTTTCGCACTGGAGAGTGCGCCGCTTGCGAGCTCGGCGGCGCACCCACCGAGGGTTCGGATCCCATGTGGAGACCGGTTCCCACTCACTGGCTGAGCGCGGTGCGGGCGCGACACCGAGGGTTGCGATCCCGTTACCAGTCAGTAAAAAAGACAAAAAGGAAAAAAAAAAAAAAGGCTGTTGACTTCTTGGTTTTCTGTGTGACTTTGTATGGGCCATCTGTGGTAGATAAGATGCTGCAGTTGACCGCCACCGCGGCGAGGGCAGTTTTTGACCAGCGCACAGTGGTGGGGACAGAGACCAGGTGTCCACGACTGTGTGTCCGGGGGCTGGTGTCCGCCAACGTCCACACAGGAAGCCGGGGACCACTCCGGGGTGCCCAGGAATCCTCTCGTGCTCGCGTCCAGCTCCTCTCCGGCGTCTCGGGGGCCTGGCAGGGGTGGGCGTCTGCGCCCTCAGCGCTGACAGTTGGTGACTCGCCTTCCTGCACTGCATCCTTCAGATGCCACCGTTTCGCTGGTGACCGAGAGCCGCGGGGAGACCGTGAACCAGGAGCCCTGGCACGCACGTGCGCGTAGCCGGACTACACGCGAGCTCTCCGGCCCGCAGTCTTCCAGACGAGCGCTGGCAGGGTCGGCTCCCGCCAGCCCCTGCAGAGCCCTTGCTTTCGGAGCAGCTTAGGTGTGCTCAGCTGCCCGGGTGTGCGTGCTGGTCCTGGGCTGAGCGGCCTCGGCACGGAACGGAGCCCTGCAGGTGCGTGCCCGGGTCGGCGCCTGAGCCAGCACCGGGGAGTCGCGGGAGTCTTCCTCCACTGTTGCTGCGGTAGCACGGAAATGCTTCTCCGTGTGGTGTTATCCCCATCTCACGTGAGCCAGTGCATTCTGTCATCTGTGATGGTGGTGTCCCAGCAGTTGTAACCGCTGCTGAGAGGAACGTCTCCCGTTCATAACAAGTGGAACTCAACGCTGTATCTTCACTGGATTTTCTCCAGTGAAGGGACTTTCAGTTGTGATGTTTTCAGTAAGGAACGTCATCTTCTGTCCCCTCTTAGAAGTGGAAGCAGCTGTCGAGATTACAGCGGAACGTGATTCTCTTCCTCTTCGCCTTTCTGATTCTCTGTGGACTCCTGTCCTACATCAGCTTGGCTGACCAGTGGAAAGGTATCAGAAACACGTGTGCTGAAAATGGTGTTTGTGTCCAGGGTTGACTGGGCAGAAGTAATCTTGCATTCCTCCTTAAAAGGGCTCCAGGGAGGCACATATCACAACAAGTCAGCGAGACATGGACGTAAAGAGAAAGATAGATCTGCGTTTAACCACCTGGCTAGAACACAGATGTTAGTTTGATGCTGTCTAACTCCCTTCTAGGTATTTGGTATTTCCAGCTTCTCTTTCTCATAAAATCAGGCATGAGCTTGAACGTTCAGTCTAAACACTTACACATTAACTTCATAGGACTCGTTACTGTGTCCTTGGAAAAGAGCAGGCCCTGGCGAGGACTTAGAGCTATCTCCTGAATTTCTGTAAGATTGCTTCTTTTAGGTAGAAGGGTAAAGAGCTGCTGCAGGTTGCTCAACCACGTTGTGCTTTCTGGAATGGAAGATGTTAAGGTGAAATATTTTTAATTGAGTGTTGTAGATGACACAAACTGCCAAGTGTTTTGAGAAAGATATGATTCCCTTAGGACATTTTTGAATTCATTTCAGTGACTTTTTGAGGGTCTCACAATGTCCTTTTATAATGAATAATGCCAGTCTTGATGTATTTATGAAACAGTTTAAATCTCTTCTAGGCCTTGTGGCACATTTGAGGTAAAATAGATTGTCTTGTTCAGCCCTGAATGGCAGGACGCCAGAAGAGCAGAAGATGAGCCGAGAGATCTCTGGGTTGAAACCAGCAAATCCACCCGTCTTACCAGCTCCTCAGAAGGCAGAAGCTAATCCAGAAAACTCCCTGGAGATTTTACCTAAGGTACTTTGAGTAAATTACGTGTGGGGTTGTAACTGGAGTTTATTCCAGAGGCATTTAAAAATAGTAAATAACATTTCAAAAAGATGGAGAATTATTTTCCTTACTGCGTGTTCTGTATTTCTACCTCACATTTCCTCATTCTGGGCTGGTTGGATGATACTTGGGGAAAGAAGGAGGCATACTCTTCCTGCTGCAGGTTGCTGTTGTGTTAGATGGTAGCCACACAGTGATGAGCAGAACAGCCCTGCCCTTTTTCTTGAGGGGCCACAAGCTGGGAGGAGAGGCAGGTGAGAAGCCAACAACCACCAGGAGCAGGTGGCACTGGGTGCAGGATAACAGGCAGCACTGACATGGGGCTGAGATGGGGACTGGTCCAGAGGACTCAGGACAGCCTATCTGAGGACGTTTCTCTGTGGGTGAATCTGAGGGCCAGGAAGCCCCAGGGGAGGGTGGGGAGAGCAGGCCTAGAGCAAAGTGAAACTGCATATTCAGGAAATGAGATTCCCCAAAGGCTGGGTGAGGGAGGAGGGGGGCTTTTGTCAATCCTTCGTCCTGCAGGTCCTCCACAGGTGTAGGCAGCCCTGGAGGTTTCAGTTGACGTGCATGGGACTGTTTTAGCTGGGACAGGAGGTCTGAGAAGCTTACTCTGACCCTGCTCTGGCTGCTCTGTGGAGACGGGGTGCAGAATGGTCAGGTGGGGGGGCAGGAGGCAGGAAGAGTGATGCTGCCTGGCTCATGGGGACAGCTGTGTGGTTGCAGGAAGGCTGCCTCCGCAGGACTGGGCTGTATGAGGGGGAGCGAGGGACTCCTGGGTGGAGGGTCTGGCAAAGGCCGAGTAGGAACTGGTTTGGGGCCTCTGAGGTGCTCTGTTTTGGATCTGCCCAGTTTGAGGTGCTTGAGAGGCACCGTGGAGATGTAATTGGCCCATGGTGCGATGTTCAGAGTCTGGGCAGGGGAGACAGGTCTCAGGAGTCCCCAAGTGCAGATGGTGCAAGTCCTCAGGAAAAGGTGGAAGAGGGGGCCAGGCTTAGTCCTGGGGCCCCCCGACACTGAGAATTTTGGAGTTGGGGAGAAGGTCAGGGCAGTGGAGTCTAGAGATGGGTCAGACGGCAGGGAGGGAATAGGAAGGCTTCTCTTTCGTGAGACAGATGGCTCAGGCAGGAGAGCCTGCGGTGGGCACGGCTGCTCCAAACCCTTTGGGTGTTAGTTACTGTTATTGGTGTGGCGCTCCAAACCCTTTGGGTGTTAGTTCCTGTTGTTGGTGTGGCGCATCACCTTGGGGGCTTCCTCTGTGGCCCAAGTCCTTGGGGCCAGGTGGTTTCCTTCCCTGCAGGGCTATCATGGGGAGAGAGTCAGAAAGCCCTTTCTAAAAGCAGTGGGGTGGGGGGCATTGAGCTTGAGGGCTGCATCGTGAGAGCTCGACATCTGAGAGGGCACTTGTGCAGTGTTTTCCTGTCCCAAAGAACTCACCCTGTGGTCTAATGGGTAGAGACATAGGTTTATTAGCCTTACGGGACTCAGAAGTTGCTGATGGTGGCCGGTCAGCTGGATATCTGCACCGCCATGGGATACGTACAACAGTTATATAGTGAACAGATCAAGTAGGGGAGTAAGTTATTTGCAGGCTTACATGCAGACCCTCAGCCAGCTCACATAACTCAGAGCATGTGGGAGACCTGGCTGAGTAGATGAGTTAATCTACTCGCTACTCTCCTGGCGCCAGAGTGCTTTAGCACCAGAGCGCTAATTCATTTACTGAGGGTCCCTGCTTCCTCTAGTCTTCCATTTGTCTTAGAGGGGACGTGCGTTTCCTTGGCAGGGAGAATAGGGCTGTGTCCAGCATTTACCCTACAGGAGCACCTTCACTCTGTGATGGGGGGTGTTTTGTCTTCACATAAGAAAGTGTTACAAAGCTGCTGGACTTACTAGGGAGGGATGGGAGTACAGCAGAGCAGAAGCAAGCTGCCTGCATTCCGAGTCTGTGTCCTGCTCTTCTGAAAAGTGGCTGCTCCACAGGAGACGTGACAGGGCTGAGGGTGTGTGGTCAGGAATGGCCACTGGACAGGGCCATCCTCCTGGGACTGTCTTGCTCCTGAATGGTGATGGGGCTATGGTATAAATCTGGGATGTGAGAGTTTCCATCTTAGACAAGGGTCTGGTGTAAGAGCTGACTTTCTCCAGTTTAAAGCTGACAGGCATTTCTAGTACTTCTTTTTTTTTTTTTTTTTTTTTTTTTTTTTCGTGTCTGGCAA